ATGCTAATGTTCCCTCACAAGCAGCGTGTACTTTCATCGGCCCTTAATTCTCATGCGCAGACTTGGCGTTTACTCGTCCGTGATGAGATGAAACAAGCCATTAGTGGATATAACTACCAGGGCTGCCGGGAATAAATGAGGGATTTAATAATCTCCGCGTTTTAATAGTTTCGCAATGGTCGGCTGGAGTTTGCGAGTCTGGAAAACACTCGCCCTTTGCTCGAAATGTCTTGCTCCGTTGTATTTGGGCGATCAGTCTTCTATCTTTCCGTTGGCTTTTGTTCTAATTAGAATTTTTGCAATAAGCTTACCTGCGCATTTCTGTCGTTTAACCCAGTGTCTTACATGAAGATGGCTTATCGTGTCCTCAGCAGCAAGGAGTCTCTCAGTTGGCCCTAGTGACCGATCCTGATTTCCCCATTCCTTGAATTGGCGGAAAATGCGTTCCAATATTACTAATAGGGACATTGTTATCATTCTTATTGATACTGTGATCATTGTTATTAAAATGTTAACACCAAGACACTAAAATAACAGAAGTGAAGCTTTTAAAAAATGAAGGAAAAGGGTAAACAGGTGAGATAAATAAGACTAATAGCTGACTCCTTGGTGACTAAGCAGTTGTAGAGCCATCTATATGTAAAGACAATAAATAAACTTATTATAGTGGGCATGGCATTGTAGTCTTGCGACCCGCTGACGTTGGGTTAAACTGAGAAGTGCTCAAATGCAGCGGCGGGTGGGAGGGGATGAACCTCTTTACCTGTGCAACTTCTGAATTTCCTTTGTTATTTGCAGCGTTACATATTTCTCTTATAGGCTTGTGCAGTATACATTTATTCAACTTTCCGCTTGTATTGTTTGCACTTTAATATGTACTTATTATAGAAGCTGAAATGGGTAAACGCATGTTCATGTATGTGTCAGTAGATCGATCGATTTACACATTTGCATGCACATAGTATATTACGTAATAGTAATTATATGAGGGCCAACCCAAGGGTTGTATTTGCATCATATTTTGAGGCGCACCCTGCTTGATTCAGGCGCGAACCCAACGTGGGTTTAGAGTCAAGGAAGCAGGCAGAGAAATCCCATCCCGCTGATTGGACCAGACGTCTCTTCTCTGGTTCATGCAAACGTTTGGGACACTCGAGTGCTTGGTCTTTGCTTGGTGCGATAGATGCTGCTTGCTGTTCGAGGATTTCGCCGTGTCAATTTTTTTAGGGGGGCTATCGCCTAGCTTCGCGCATCCCTCAGCGGGATGCCCACCGCGCCCGTAGATCGCGAATAGGACCTCACTGCTTAGTCTGCCGGCCTCGGCTCCTCTCCGCCTCCCTCTCGTCTCCTAGGCTCTCTCTGTATTTACATGTATTGGCATGCATGCAGATAGTCACTAAACAGATTGACTGAACACTGTTTCCAAACTCATTGATGACCACCTCTGGTCGTATGCATCACTACAATGCTGTTGGCAAGTAGGTGCTGTAAATGAACATTGATATGTATTTTCTTTGTTCAACACTTGTAAAGCCATAACACTTTAAGTAACATTTTGGGAGCGCACAATATCATGCTTTAAGTCATATAAACATAACCTAGCCTTTTCATCCTGTCTAGAAGATTCCACAAACCTGTACCATTTGCTTTGCATGTGAAATCGGCACAGATCGATGGAAACAGACGAGAAGAGTCCCACATCACGCCATTTGTGACGTCAGCAGCGAGGCACGTCTGAATGTCACCGAATCCTCCAAGCACATGATCAGGAGGGGCAGTTCGAGCGCCAGACTAAGCACGGACTAGGGTCTGACGGCATAAGGCGAGAGAAAGTCGGGACCCGAATGTACCTTCTGAACTCTGCCTCACATTTTTGATGGTGTGTGACATCAGTCTTCCGTGCAACTCGCGTTTTTAAACTTCAGCGGACTTTGTGTTCGTGACTTGCACAAGTTGTGGAAGAGAGCGGGCGGCGGCCGCGTGTATTTGCTGTCCCTTGCAAATATTAGCCCGAAAGAGGGGCGCCGGAAGGATGCGGAAGAGAATGCTCAGGTGATGGGCGGGGTATTGGTTTCAGGGGCGAAGAGAAGGAGGGGGGACTGAAAAGGAAATACAACCTTAGAGAGTTTGCGGGGGAGGGGGTAACACCCTGAGAGCGTGGGTGCGTGAACGTTTGCTCAGCCGGGTTGGCGCTTTCATGGTGAAAAGGCCAGGGAGTTGGATATATACGCACGCCTCCCAAGAATATAACGAGAAGCTGAAAGGCTTATTATATAGTTTGTGTACAAATAATTGTAGAAGTCAATCTTTTAAAACGGACGCCGCCCACGTGTAGTGCGGAAACCCCGACATGAACAGTTAATTGACCGAGTTCCGCACGGGCTGTCGGTTCCACTCATTACACGCTGCCCGTGACCGCAGAAAATCCTTAAAAAACACTTGACTCGGAGAAGGAGATGTTTATATAATTGGCGTGGCCACACACGCCAGCGTGTCACACGAGAGACGCGCGGGCGTGGGAATGTGGGCGGGGAAAGGACTGGCGGTGCTTGGCGATGGAGGGGAGGGGCAACGAGGTTTTTTTTAGAAATGAAGGAGGGAAGGAGGGGGCAGAGAGGGACGGAGGGAGGGGAAAGGGTGAGGCATGATGTAAAGTTGCGTAAAGAAGGCAAAGAAGAATGGACTAAGCAAATTCAGCGGGACCTTCATATATGTCAGACATTTGTCTCGATTCACACACTCGATAACGTGTCCGCAAAGTGGCTGGGTGACTCTGCAGGAAGCCGCTGCGAAGTTCCGCATCGATGCTCGGAGCCGCCGCGAAACGCGCAGGGCAAGTGCCATGTTAGAAGGGCCATCGTGAATGCCTCGAGTAGGAAGGCCTCTTTCCTCGGCGCCGCCTTTTTGCGGCCGAGGGAAGGCTGAAGGGAGACGATCGCGTCCCGGGGATGTGGTTGAGTTGACGCGCCCGAATCAAGGCTGGGGTCGAGATAAAGGCGACTCGGAGGCTGGAGAATAAAGAACTGTGTCTAGTTTATCTTACAAAGCTTGGGCTATGACGTCCTCCGAATATGCGTTGTATACTTATGAGTGTCGAAAAACATGTGCAAACTGACAAATACCATTGAATATTTACGACTTCATGTGTTAACTTTTTTTCTACGAGAGAGAGACAGAGAGAGAGAGAGAGAGTTCATCCGCTTTCTAGTGTCTTTTCTGCTCTGTTTGCAGAGTGTGCAATTGAATTCTCTCCATTTGGTATACTGAAAGACTTTACGCTTATACAACACAGAACACAAAAAATGCAGTCATGAATTGACGAAAACAAGGATACTCACGATGCCGCTATAGACTGATATCAGCTGTTAATCAGAAATATGAAAATGCTCATAACATCCACCTGTTGGGAAACCTGACGAAGAATGTGAGCATTGGAGCCTCGTTGATGATGATAATAATAATAATAAGAGAAAGCCCTGTGCGACGTGACAGGATAATCCCAGCGCGCGCCGGCGAAGGGAAGACGGTGTCGACGATCGCTCAAGTGGCAAGAAGTGGGTTGAATGGCATCGTCGGGGCGCAGCGTAATTGGCCTTCCTGCGCGGCGATTACGTGTAATTAGGCACATCGCTCTTGCCGTTATTGCTAATGGAATCCCTGCGTCGGGCTGCTCGCGGGAGGAGGGGGTAGTAGAGAGAGGGAGAGGGGGGGGGGGCGAGAGCGAGAGAGAGAGAGAGAGAGAGGGGGGGGGGGGGCGAGAGCGAGAGAGAGAGAGAGAGAGAGGGGGGGGGGGGGCGAGAGAGAGAGAGAGAGAGAGAGAGAGAGAGAGAGAGAGAGAGAGAGATCGCATAGGGCTCTCCCTACATGCCTTTCCATTATGTACGCTTCATTGAATTTCCTTCCTCGATTCCTTGTCACATCTTGTATCCCATTTCTCGTTCATCCGCTTTCTAGTGTCTTTTCTGCTCTGTTTGCAGAGTGTGCAATTGAATTCTCTCCATTTGGTATACTGAAAGACTTTACGCTTATACAACACAGAACACAAAAAATGCAGTCATGAATTGACGAAAACAAGGATACTCACGATGCCGCTATAGACTGATATCAGCTGTTAATCAGAAATATGAAAATGCTCATAACATCCACCTGTTGGGAAACCTGACGAAGAATGTGAGCATTGGAGCCTCGTTGATGATGATAATAATAATAATAAGAGAAAGCCCTGTGCGACGTGACAGGATAATCCCAGCGCGCGCCGGCGAAGGGAAGACGGTGTCGACGATCGCTCAAGTGGCAAGAAGTGGGTTGAATGGCATCGTCGGGGCGCAGCGTAATTGGCCTTCCTGCGCGGCGATTACGTGTAATTAGGCACATCGCTCTTGCCGTTATTGCTAATGGAATCCCTGCGTCGGGCTGCTCGCGGGAGGAGGGGGTAGTGCTGCTTGAGGTAGGCCTGCTTGCGAACTTGATTTCGAGGAGAGGAATTTTAGTCGCCACTTTTAACCCGCTACTATCGGGAAGAGGTAGGAAAGGCTAGGCTGTAGATGAAATACTCCCCCGGTAAGTATGTCCACCGTACCTGCGTGTGCGTTTCTCGAGAATGGAGACGCCGCGGAGAAATCTAGAGGGCCCAGTATTGAGGTCAGGAAGGAGTGCCGAAGAGAACGGCGGAGATATAATTATATGGATCGAGGTTATCGTGGAGGCCTTGGTGGGCTGGGATGGCCTTTGTTATGGCGAGGGGGGGGGGGCGCTGTTACCGGGCTCGCCCGATGATAACGGGGCCTTCGGGGTTCCTGCCAGGGCCCTCGGGTGAAGGGAGGGTCAGGATCCGAAGCCTTTTACAGGAAAACCATTTTCTCAGGAACATTACAGTTCTTCATGTTCACGCCCACCCATGTATGTGTATGGATGCTCGTTACACGTGTTGTAATAAAATGTCCGAATGAGTTTTTCTTTCAGTTGCCGGCTGTGTTGACTAATGTGTTTCTCTCTTGCAGCCAACGAGAGGCCGGCGGCGGGGCCAGGCGAGGCCCGAAGCCTAAGCACAGGACGAGGGAGCACCTGAGTCGGGTAGGTGTTGCATCGCCCAGCCCCTTTGTTTGTTTGTACTGATAAGGAAATCAAATGTTTCGTTGTATCCGCAAATGCATTTTATGAATGGTGTGGTAATGATGAATGCCAGTAGTTTAGTTTTTATTTTTATTATAGTAATGGTCCTTTTTATTACATAATTTTCACAGACCAAAGTTTCTAAATGTGACTTTCATTGTGAGAAGACCTAACCACACGCTCACCGCTCTATGTTAAGCACCGAACGTGCTTCGATAAGTGAAGGAGAAGACGCCGGCGCCGACAGCGAGGCGCGGGGCCGTCGCCGTGAACGCTCACGTTAGACACCGTTAGGCTGCCAGGAAGGAACACCAGACACGGCGCGCTGGGTGGTTTCTCTCTCATGCCGCAAAATGGTTTACGCGAAGTAGAATGTTTCACATCCCGCAGATCGCGTTTCTCTTTTGATGATATTGTTTTATTGTCACTGGTATCATGATCCTTCTTGCCGCCATTGTTGTTACAAAATTTGGGCACACTAGTTGAGAAGAGCGAGGTGCACCGCCCAGAGAAGATAAAAGTCCGGGTCGAGTAGGCAAAGGCCAGCCCTTCGTTCGTAAGCGTCGGGCTCATCACGCCAGCGGGCCAACAGCCGGGCCAGATAGCGTGCATGGTAGTAGTTGCCGATCACTTCTTAAAGGAGTAAAACGGGAAAATGTGTTAAAAGGATCTAGCGTGTAAGCACTTAAACGAGTCACTGGAAACATTTGCACTCTTCAAATGTACCGTAATTAACCCTTCCACATGAAAACATAGATGAAAATACATATTAGTGAAAAATAACAGCGCACACACACACACACATATGCACACACACACACATATGCACACACACACACATATGCACACACACACACACATATGCACACACACTCACACATATGCACACACACACACATATGCACACACACATATACACACACATATGCACACACACACACACACACACACACACACACACACACACACACACACACACACACACACACACACACACACACACACACACACACATCTGCGCGCGCGCGCACACACACACACACACACACACACACACACACACACACACACACACACACACACACACACACACACACATCTTCGCGCACACACACACATATGCGCACACACACACATATGCACACACATATGCACACACACACACACATGTGCACGTACACACAAACATATGCACGTACACACACACATATGCACGTACACACACACATATGCATACACACATATGCACGCGCACACACATATGCACGCGCACACATGCACGCGCACACATGCACACGCACACGCACGCACACACATGCACACGCACGCACACACATGCACACGCACACGCACGCACACACATGCACACGCACACGCACGCACACACATGCACACGCACACGCACGCACACACATGCACACGCACACGCACGCACACACATGCACACGCACACGCACGCACACACATGCACACGCACACGCACGCACACATGCACACGCACGCACACACATGCACACGCACACGCACGCACACACATGCACACGCACACGCACACATGCACACGCACATACACACGTACATGCACACGTATATGCACACACACGCACACACGCGCACACACACACGGCGAGGCGCACCTCTAGAGAGCAAGGGATCCCAGACCTAGTATTTTATCAAATATTCTTTTGCGGAGAGGGAAGGTCTATAGTCCTTGGTCGTGTTTGATAAAACAAACCTAGACGTGCCAATGCTAGCTTAAATTTGTGTCGCATATGCTTACAACTTCGCAGTCATGTGCAAACATATCATGTTACGTGAAAAGAATTAAACGTAAATTGCAGTGCTGCGAATTTTGCCCGTGTGTGATAGCCCCGTTACTATATTAGTTCATAGGGGATTACTGTGAACATTTTCAAAATGCGCGGGGGGTCAGATCTCGCATAGTTATATATAGCCTATTTAAATCCTAAGCAGATGTATGATAATTATAATGTAAAAGTTAAAAGAACCCACCAATAATTTGTATAAAGAAGAATGTTTTAGCAAAAGACAAAATGCGTCATTCGAAAAGCTAAAAATATAGTATAGATGCTCTACCTGAACACCAAGGGTAGTAAAATCGTATAAATATGATACCCAAGATATGGTTGCAGCAGATGTGCTGCGGGTCGCATGCATGCGGATGTAGTTAACCAGGAAGAAATCGTGATTCTATATGTGTGCCGGTAAGTGTAGCAAGTGTTACGTATAATCATTTTGTCGAATGATGCTCCTTTGTTTCCTAGGGAGGGGGCTGAGGGAAGTAATATAGAGCGGAGGTGGCTGGGATCTTAGCCGTGGGTAGCCTGGCAGCTGACAACCTGGTCACAGTTGTGTTTGGTTTCGCCTCCCGCCTCCCCGCGTCGAGTTCTTCCATCCCTTGTGGCTGAAGACCCCCCCCCCCCCCCCCGTTCTGCTGCCCTTCTCCTGCTTCCTTTCGGCCCATACTTCCTGTGTTTTCTCGGCCGCTGGCACGTTAGTGTGTGTGTTTGTGCGCGCTTTTTGCGTGCGCTCACATGCATAAATGTATTATACATATATACACTTCGTGTATTCACTCACTCGCCCCATCCCCTCGCCCCTCATGCGAACCCCTTCTTCCGCTCCGCCTGGGTGTGGGCGCTTCCCTTGCGGGCGGCGGGGCACCTGTATGGCTTTGTTTACCAACCAGCCACGTGCTCCCCTCCCCCCTCCCAGGCCTTCTTCACAACAAGCCCTTCAGGTTTCCCTACTCCGTCCGGTCGCTCTTTTCTGCTCTTTTAGAATTGTTAAACCTTTTAGATGTCTTTGACTACTGTAATATTTCAACTTAATAGCTGCACTAAGTGAATGTTCTTATCAATCTTTGCCCATACTAATAGCTAATGAAATACGTCAGCCCATTCTCGTGATGTTGAACTGGGATAATCTAATCTAATCTAATGTTTTTCTTGGAACGCATCGTTTGTTAATTAAAGCAGAGTAGTATAGTCCCAACACTCTTTTGGATGATAACATTACGTATTACAGAAGGCAATAGAGAGTACTTTCTGGGCCTGATTACTCTCTAATGAATATTTGCGCATAATGAATGCGCCGATAAAGAGAGCTCTTGTTGTCTTGACTGCAACAGCGATCATGTTTAGATTAACTTCATCAATGACTTGGTGTTTGATTCATTCAGGTTTAACATTGGTCGATGAAACACAAGTGTAGGAGAGGCAGGAAAGGGAGGGTAAGGCAGAGAGAGGAGAGAAAAGCGAAAACAGTAGAAAAGGAAGACGAAGACCAAAGGGAAGGGGTAGTGGAGACTGAAGCTGGAAGTGATATTAAAGGGGATTGTGAAGAGGCTTCGGGGCGATGGGCGAGAGTGAGGGAGGCGCACGACGCGAGGAAGGAAAGGTGCGAGGGGAAGGAGAAGGATTAGAGGCAGGGGCGAAGGGGAAGTGAGGAGGAGAATAAAGGAAGGAAATAGGCGAGGGGAAGGGAGGGGGGAAGGCGGATAATGTTGACATGACGAGAATAACTTGTGCACGCGGCGGTAACTCGGACCCTCAATGTCACCTTAACGCGCCCCTTCAACTCCGGCGGTGCCTAGCGAGCCTCTCCTGCCGGGCTGCTGACGAGGGGCACGGGGAATTTGGGGGGGGGGGGGTATGAAGGAGAGAGAGAGAGGGAGAGAAAGACAGAGACAGAGAGAAGGAGAGACAGACAGACTCAGGTTGGGATGGAGGGAGGGAGGGAAAGGAAGGCGAGGAGAGAAGAGGAAGGTAAATAGTTAATAAGGGAGAGGGATGAATCAAATAAAGTGGAAATGAAGAAGGGAGTGAGCCGTGAAGGAGGTGGAATCCGCTACGGGAGGGAATGGAGGCAGGCCGGCGGAGGGGCGGGGGTGAATGCGTGACTGGTGAGGTTGGTGAGGTCGTTACACCGCGAGGTCGAGCTTCGGGGTCACGCCCATACGCTTTCCCTCGTCGTAATGACGGGGAGTGTATTAAACTCTCGGTAACCGCGGGCGAAGTTCAGGCATCTTGGGTCTTCGTTAGTGTTTTGAGCTGTTTACAACACGGGGGATGGAATGCCTTCGCAAATCGTGAAACGGAAAATTTAGTCAGTAGAATTCACTAGAATTATTTACTACCCCCATACAGTTCGATGCGCAAACCTGTGTATGGGCTGTAGGCAGCCCGTGAGAGTCCTGTCATCATCGTCCTTGACAGAGCGCAGGTCGTGCGTCACTGACATCATCGCGTCTCACGTCCTGCTCACCCTCTGCCACCGTCGTGATTCTTCTTCCATCACTTTATCATACCCATTCTTTACTCCCCTTTTCGCGTCTCTTTTCTCTTGTGTTGCTCCTTCATTCTCCGTATCAGCAGTCTGTCTTCTTTCCCCATCCGCAACCCCTTCCCCGGCCCGCCTCGGCCCCCTGCGCCAGGGATCAGTGCCCCCGGCGGGTCCCAGCCTCGCCCCTTCCCAGGCAATCATTCATGGCCAACCATTGACCTCCCGGAAGGCTGAGGTTCCGTGCCGTTGCAGGAGTTACGGTACAAATCATTAAGCTGGAATGCTAGTGGGCATTTGATCGCGCGTGCCGCTCACCCGCCACTCCGGCCGTTAGGAGCCGTCTGCTCCGCTCGCGCCCCTCTCCGTGGCCTCCTCGGCCGGGCTAGAGAGGGACAGAGGAGAGCGAGGGAGGGCGCGTGGTTGCGCCTCTCCAAATGCTTGTCGGGATCCGGGAATTGCTTGCTTGCATTGAGGCGAGGGGAATCGTGGGAAGCGCCTGTGAAACGATTCCGCCGCAAATGAAGTAGAATTGATTGCAATAACAACCCCGCCGTGCATCAGAAGTCATTGATAAGTTGTGGCAGAGCAGCGTTTGCCCCGCACGTCGTGGCGCCCCGGGTGAAGGCTCCAGACGCAACGTAGGAGTAGAGCTCTCA